GTTTACTCTGAATTCCTGCTAGATATTGATGCCAGTGGGAAATGAACATGTTTTGGTCTCTTGTATTGTGCTGACATCATATTTGCTTTTATTTTCCACTTACTGGTCATGTAAAAATCACCCATTTAGGTGAATTCCTGTTACTGTGTCACTGATTTAGTCTTGTGTGTGTGATTTATTTTGCATTCTTATGCTGATGATTATGGAGTGTGTCCCTTCTCATAACAACAGAAATATGTCAGTAATATGTAATTTCCTTTCAGAATAAAGATGGAAAACCAATATTGCCGAAGCCTGAAGGAAAACCAAAGGTTAGAAAACTGACAATATTGTAGGAGTGTGACTAGATATCCTGTTTTCTCCCTCTCTGTCATCACTTCTCTCTGTGCCATTATGTAAGTCTCTTGGTCTGCCTATGTATTTACTTCTTGCACAAAATCGGCTGATCTCAAGTGTCAAGTGAAAGTTGGTTTTATTGGAATTCACTATCTGTGAATAAAGAGCTCATAGTAGGGAAAAGGTTTAGAGAGCACCAAGGCAGGAGAGAGTTACAGAAATTACTGCTGACACAAAGAAAGCTGTAGGGGGAGTTAGTGTAATGTATTCTGTAGAGATCTGTTGAAGGACTGAGAGAGGCGAAGCAGGAAAATGTTCTGTTTTCTTGACAGTTTCATCTCACTAGTTACCAAATACAAAGGAACCTGAGTGGAAGAAGGAAAAAGCTGCTGTGGACATCTGCCTAATAGTATCCATCATGGCCTAGAAAGTGCAACAGAGAATGAAAATATTGAATCAGGAAGTTACAGAGGTTAATTTTAAAAGCACAGGAAGAAAGGAACTGTACACTGAAGAAACTGAGGGCTTCACTTTGGAAATACTGAGTTTGAGGAGTGCTGCTAAAATTGGGAAACCAAGGCAGAAGATAAGCTCAGAATCATGAGTTCTTATGCCAAAAGAATCTAAGTGGTTAGTAGAGAAATAAGTGTTCCCATGCTCTCCCGCCTCTCTCAGTGGAAGACACAAACATAATTGAACATTTGTTGTGTAAATGGATCACAGAAGCATCACACACATACGTTGCAGTGTTTTCCTGAGCACTTCTTCAATATTTGTAACTCAAAAGAAGATGGTTTTGAGTAAGATGTGCTCACCAGTATTGCTGTGGATTCACCACTAGTTTAGATCTGTGAAACAAAAATCAGCAAAACAAAAAAAATGCAATGTTCATAGCTGGGAACCTTCAGTCACTTACAGTTCTTCCCTGATTTCTGGTGAATGCTAAGTCCTTCCTTCAAGATTTCAGCTAGGGATTGCTCTGCATACCCTGAAGCACATATAGTGGCATTACTTTTGTGGAAAAAAAATGTTATTATTACCTAAATGCCTTTTTTTTATTTAGTGTCTGAAAGAGGATTTCAGACATTATGAAAAGTAGGGCTTTACATGTTGAGATGTTCTATAAAGACTTACAGGGAGGGATTGAGGTAGGGAAGAGGCTCTCCTTCAGAAATATCATTTTATGTATTATGAATTTGTCCCTAACTAGTTAAATTCCACGTAGCAAGTGTGTCTGCTAATTACTAGATGGAAGGAGATTATCCATGCAGAGGCTGGGGGTGGAGGGGTAGGGTAGAAAAGGGTAAGGATAAAAAGGAATAAGGAAGAGACACAAGGTTCAGAGTAGATCCCCTCACTAAACTGAGCCCCAGACTTGACCTAGGTCTTAAGGCCTAAAGGTTTGACAGCACTCAAACTTGGCAGTACTTAACTGATATCATAAGCAATTTAACAAAGGATTCATATAAAATTCATTATAGCACAACAGTAACTCACAGGCCTAACTTTTAAATCTAAGGTACTTAATCTAGGAGAGCAGCACTCATAGTACCTTTGCTCCAGCATATTCACATTTTCACACACACAGATCACTGTGTATAGGGTCACCACAGAGTGGACTTTAGTCATAGCAATTTTTCATCCTGGCTCCAGTTTGGGTTAGTAGCTTGCTTTAAAGGCTAGATAACAAAAGTATGATTTCACTTGGGTTGTTATTCAGGCAAGAAAAAAAGTTTCCAAGGCTGCTTGTTAAAAAACAACAGCTGACTACCCAGAGGGAGTTCCTGGGAACGGACAGTGTTTGTGATAAGCTCAAGGGGTGCTCAGCCTAGGTTCTGTTTGCAAAGGCCACGGGCTAATCAACCTTTCTCAGATTAGTGTGACCTGGTTGGGGGGGGATGCACCACCACAGAGTGAATGGCCATCACTGCTAGCAAAGATTTTAACATTTAGCTATAAACAGCAGCTTGAAGGATCCCAGGAGCATCAGGTGTATAGACAGATCTAGAGGTATGAAGACTGTATAGTACTAGATCACATAGCATCCATAGATTACAATAGATCACAGACAATAGGAAACTAAAACTGCATTTTTATTCCCTAAAACATGTGCAGTGAAAAACACTGAGTGTCAGCCGCAAGTGGACAAGCTAAGGGAACTTTTAGGTCACACTGTCTCTGAGGGAACTCTACTTCTGCTGGAAATAAGTACAATGGGCTGATGGTGCTGCTTTCCCCTGCCTGTATGTGACTTATACTTGAACAATACTATAACATAGTACATAGAACTATACTATAACAATGCTGTTACAGTAAATACTAGATAGTAAATACTAGCATTTTTTCTGATTAACAGATTGTATTTTCCTGTTCAGTTTGCCTGTAAACAGTGTTGAACATTATATATCTGGTTCTCCATGTTGTATTTTATATTACATGTACAGTTCTCTACACTGTATTGACTTTTGATAACAAAGCAACTGAGCTATTCTGAAATGCAGTTTTCTTAATTTAGTGCACTGCAAAATTCTTGCTCTTCTGTTGCACATAAGTGTGAAAGGTTATTTCAGTGTAGGCTACAAATGTTTTCCTGCTCTCGTAGTAGCTGAAATATAATTCTTGAAAAGATAAGTTAAAAACAAGCAGTGAGTGACCTGTACCCCACGTGTCTTTTTTTTGCAGCCACTGAGTGAATCTGATCTTGTTGATGAGTTTTCAAAGGACTTTGCCTGCCCTGCACAGCCTGCAGTACAATCCAAACCACCAAAGTCCAGCAGCACATCCAAAGTATGTCTTTCTGATTCACTGAAGATTCTGACACTGATAGTTTTGCTAAGACTGGATAGTGCTACTGTTATTTCAAGGCAAATATTCTCCCTGTTGCCTTCAGTGGAACATGCAGTATTGGCACTCAGCGCCTAATTGAGCAGCTTCTACCATTAAATTAGACTCTTCTTTCTTGTTTAGTACTGTATTTACAAAAAAATCCCACCCATGTAACAGACACATTTTGTGTATCTATGCAGGTTCAATAAAATACTATGTAATTGTTCTGTTTCAGAATCCTTCAGGTTCTGTGTCTACAAAACCTACTGAGGATAAAGTAGTCGCTCGTGCCACAGCTTGCACTGTGCAGTCTGCAGCTCCCTCAGCCAAACCTTCAGTAAGTAGTGGAGCTACTTTAGCTGGAGCTAAAGCCAAGCTCACTGCTTCATTGATGGAACAGTAGAGCATGTTGTCAATATATTTATTTCAGTATTGCATATTCCTTTTCCATAGTGGAGTCAAAATCGAGTCAAACACAAACTGAATATGGAAGGGCAGTCACCTTTTTCATAGAGGAAGTCAAACTGATGGTTCTCATGGTCTCCTCTAGCTCTTAGTTCTTTAAATTTGTGAACCTAATAGGTGCTGCAGGAAGAGACAAAACCAGGTTTCTTCAGCTGAAGCTGAACTCCAGACTAAGAATTGTTTTTTTGCTGTATCAACACCCATACAGGTTGGTCATGTAGCAGATGAAGCACTGGAAGCCTTGTCCAGCAGCCTAGGACAGAGGGAGCCTGATGCAAATGAAAAAAAACCTGCCGTGGATAAAGTTAAGGTAGGTAAAAAAATCATACCTCAAAAAATAGGCTGTTGATGTAATTGCCTTCAGTGTTACTGTATTTCCTCAGGCTAGAAACAATATAGACATAATATTTTCACTTCTTTTAAAAAACAAAATTTGGTGGTGAAACCGATTGTGTTGTGCTTAGGAAGTTCTAGTAGGATTTCAACACGGTGAGTACATTTTCTTAATAACTCTGGCTATTACAGTACAGTAGATCTCTCAGTTTCTGAAAACTGCATTTTCTTAATGTCTTACTGCTGGCTCAAATTGAGATGCATATCAGAGGCAGCACACAATATGGCTCTTTTCCAAAAGTAACCAAACTTATGAGGAGCAGTTTAAATTAGGAATGATGTGTAAAACTTTAGGGTATGTCAATGATGTTGTTACTTAAACAGTGAGCCATAAGTAAGCTGCTGAAATAAGTGTATTCTAAGGGAATGTTGTGCATAGCCTCAGCCTCATTCCCCCGTGTGCCCCCCCAAACCGTGGGCCAGATGGAATTGACTGGATGTGTCTACACACTGATTGTTCCTTCTCACTGGAAGAGCATAAGACACAAGGAAGAAAATGTTCTTGATTTAGGATAAGCACAACTTAGCAGAAGCCAAAACATCAGTGCACTATCAGCAGTGTTCTCACTCTGAATCCAAACACTGCACTACACTCGCTACTGAGAAAATTAACTGCATCCTGTCTAAAACCAGGACACTGGAGTCAGAGAAGTTTCTGGTGGCTCAAATCCCACCAAGCAAACAGTTCGCAAAGTTCGCTTTAGTCCCTTTTCTTAGCTGTCATTTTCCAGCATCACTTGCATAGGGGTAGTCCTTATTGCAGCAGGGTACTGATTTCTCTCAGCCTTCCTCTGTGTGCAGCCCACAGAGCTGCTGAGTGGATTTCCAGGAAAGTCAGGAATTAAGACTCAGGGGTGTAATGCTGTTTTGCTACTGGTTCATGCTTGTCCTGGGTTGCAGTGTGGGGGGTATCCA